CCTCCACCTCCACCTCCACCTCCACCTCCACCTCCACCTGCAGCCGGCTGGCCGGCCCCTCACCCTGGATCCAGACGAAGCCATAGAGGAAGTAGAAGCGGCCACCAGTGTTGGGCCCCGGCCGCCAGTAGGCTCTGCGGATCTCGTTGGTCTTCTCGGTGAAGCTGGAGTTCTGTCGGATCTTATAGTGCACGTGGGGCGGCAGGGAGCCGTCCTTTCGAGTCTGGAAGATCACGCCTGGGGACCCAGGCAGGCCGGGTGGGGCGGAGCCAAGGAGCAGAGGGGGTGGGGCCCAGGTGCAGTGGGCGGGACCGAGATTGGTGGGGCGGGACTCCAGTGGTAGGGCGTGGTCATGGTGCAGAGGGGCGGGGCTCCAGGGGCGGGGCCAAAGAGGGGCGGAGTCTGGGGAGCTCCGTGGAGCAGGGCAAGGTGGGAGCCGGGCAGGTGTCTCACTGGCAAACACGGTGACGTTGTCCTGGTAGGCCTGATTGAGCGTGTAGTTGACAATGCTCTCCTCGTCGGGAAAGCCCTTGAAGATGTCCACGCTCACCTGGGGTGGGGGCATCGCCGTTGGAGCCGGGCCAGGGCCCAGGGAAGGCGCCCCCTCCCAGGCTCATGCACCCCACCTTGGACATGAACTGGATCCAGCCGCAGGCTGCGTTGTCAATGGTGTCCAGCTGCTGCAGGAGGGCGGAGCCGTTGGGCAGGGAGAAGTTGTCCTGGCGAAGGGCTGGTGGCAGCTCGTCCAGGGACAGGTTCAGGGCTTCCGGGTGCAGCCGCAGCTCTGCCACGTACTGGGGGTAGAGAACCGGCTCAGAGGGTGGCCTGTGCCTGTGCCGGAGCAGAGGGGCTCCCCGCACTGGCCTCGGCTGCCTCCCACCCCAGGCACCCACAGCACCTGCTGCAGCCAGTGCAGGTGTTGCTGCAGCCTGCCCTGCTCCAGGAAGCTGCGGATCTCGGCCGAGATGTTGAGCCAAACCTGGGCATAGTGAGTCACGTTGCCCACGAAGGCGAAAGTCTCGTTGGCCTGCAGAGGGAGAGAGCGCTGGCTCCAGGAAGGACTCGGGCCAGCGTGGGGCCGTCCTCCCTCACCCCTCCGCAACTGGCCGTCCCCAACAGCCACCAACTTTGCTCTGACCAACTTTACCTGGGGCTGCCAGCCCTCCCCCTCCCCACCTCTCTCCACACCCACGGGAAACTGGCTCTGCTCTCTGCTCTGGACCCTCCCGCACAGCTCCTTCCTGGGACCCCTCTCTACACAACCTGCAAGGGCCCCCACCCTTATCCGAGGGACCCCTGTGCCCAGGACTGCGCCTCCTCCCCAGGCTCCGTCCCAGGCTGTGTCCGCCCTTGGCTCCTGCTGCTCCAGACAGAAGCCCACTGGACGCTGCTCTGGAAGATCTCTGCACACACCCCTCCTCCGCCAGCACTGCCCGGCCCTGCCCACACCGGCTTGTGCGGGGCCCCGCCAGCCCATCCCACAGCAGCCCCGGGGGCAAAGCAGCCCAGTGCCCCAGCACCTAGGGCACTGCCTAGGCCGCCCCACCGGCCTGTGTCCCACATGCAGCCCCACCGCCCCCACGCTAAATCTGCTGACCTCCCAGCGGTGCCCCCAGGCCTGCAGAAGCCAGACACCTAGCGTGCCAGACCCACGCACCTTCAGGATGACCCGGTCCGCCTCAGAGCCTGCCGGCGCGTACAGGATTTTGGGGTTGCTGGTCATGAGGTGCACGAGAAGGCCCAGGTTCCGCTGCTCCTTGCTGGTGAAGCCCAGGGAGCTCATGTTGCCCCGCCGCAGCGCCTCGGGCTCTATGGTGCTGGGGGTCAGGGAGGGGGTCAGGAGGGTCAGTGTGCTAGACTAGGGGCGGGGCATGGGGCGGGGCTTGGCCATGGGGCGGGGCTTGGCCGTGGGGCAGGTCTCCGTGCATCAGGGCCAGGCTGTGCCACTTGTCACTGTGACACTTCTCACCGTCCCCACCTGCCCTCCCCCACTGCCCACCTACCGGTTGTTGCCACACAGGATGGGCTGCAGGCCGGCCCAGAGCTGCACGAAGGCTGAGCACTGGCCCTGCAGCGAGTCGGGGGAGGTCGGGGCTGCGGCGGACGGGGCTCCCTCCTCGGCCGTGGCGTTCGAGCCTGCGCCTGCCCCCGCTCCGGTGCCATTGGCCGCCCCACCCGGGCTGCTGGCTGGGGCCCCGGGGGCCCGGCCGGTGCAGGCACCCTGGGGCAGCAGCAGGGCCAGGGCCGACAGCACGTCCACATCCTGCAAAACCTTCTGCGCATCCAGCAGGTCCTGCAGAAGCGCCTGCAGCCTCCGTGGAGGTGGTGCCTGCGGCTGGGCTTCCGAGCCGTTGGGGGCGTCCAGGCCCAGCTGAAGGGACACAGGCATGTCACCGGGGTGACTGAAGGTGGGGGACTAAGAGAGGACCTGCAGCCAGAGGTGAGCAGAGCCCTGGCCAGGGCCTGGGAGAGACAGATGGGGCCGAGGGGTGGGCGGGGCTCAGGGTGGGGGAGTCAGGGCACCCTCCCATGTGCAGCTTGGGCTCAGGAGCCCCCAGGACTCCAAGTAGCCCCAGCACCTCCTCCAGCGCAGGCAGCAGCAGCAGGCAGGGCCTCACCTGCTGGGCAATCTTGGCCATGTCCAGCTGGCTCCGGAGCTCAGCAGCCAGCCCAGAGAAGCGCCGGGCACGAGCTGCAGCCTGTCCGCTGCAGACGGCGTCCCGGTAGCCCTGCAGGGCCGTCTCCTGACCCTCGGGCACTGCGAGGATCTGACCCAGCTGCCTGGAGCCCGGTGCACAGGTGAGCTGCTCCAGGAGGGCAGGGGCCAGCAGCAGCTCCTGGGGGTGGGACACAGGGGTCAGCTGGGGCCACACAGGGACTCTGCCCCCAACCAAGAGGGACTGAGGGCCTGGCCCCAGACGGCCTCAGGCCTCACCCTGCCAACCCGCTGTGCCAGTGCTGGGGCTGTCTGGGCTCTACAACAGGGGGCATTCACACTGTCACCCTGCCTCTGCCCTGCCCAGGCCAGCAACAAACTCCCCGGGACCCTGCCTTGCTCCCAGGAGGAGCTGTGTATTATCAAGGGGGCCCCTTTCCTCACCCACTGGGCAGAAGCCCCCCAGAAGCAGGCAGCACACCTCCCGTCCCACGGACAGGCCCCTCACCTCCATCCGGAGCAGGGGATGGCCACCCAGGCGGCTCCAGGGCTCCTGGCCCCTGGGGAGGCCAGACTCAGAATCCAGGGTCCGAGAAGGGCCAAAGAGCAGGCTGTAGACCTGGGGGTGTGAGGGATGGGGCTCAGGCGGGGGCCTGAGAGCCCTGAGGACACCTCAGTGGCCCTGAACACCCTCCTGCAACCAGAGGGTGTGGGCAGGGTGGGGATGGGAGGGGGGAGCCGGGGTGGGTCTGGCCCCACCCTCGAGCAGAGGCACTGTCAGGGCCACAGCCCTGCCTCACCTCAGGCGGGTCCACCCGGGCGGCAAGGAGGGCCTGAGCTGTGCTGTTGGGCAGTGACAGGTTCTGCATCAAGAAGCGCCGGAGCTCCCGAGGGTCCCTGGCCACCGAGTCCAGAGAGAAGGAGGACACTGGACGGGCAGGAGGGAGAGGATGAGGGGCCAGCTGCACTCGGGCCACAGCACCCAGGAGGCTCAAGGCCAAGCCCAGCACCACGCAGGGCAACTGCGTGGGGCGGCGGGGCCTGCCCTGAGCACGTGCATGGGGACTCCCCACCAGCGCAGGTGGAGGGGGGACCAGGGCAGAGGTGGGCAGAGGCGGCCCGGCCCTCCCCGCCCAGGGCGCACCTGCAGGTCTGTCCGAGGGGCTCCCCCAGGCCTGCGGGCTGGCGCTGAGAGCCTCCAGGTGCTGGCGCAGGGCCTCCAGCTCCGAGCCCAGGCTGGGCCGCGCTGGGTCGAACAGGTTGCCCTCCTCCACCACGCGGTCCAGGCGCTCCAGCAGCTGTGTGACCCTGCGCCACACCGGGTGTCAGCGCTGGGGTGGGCAGGGGCCGGGGGAGGGGGGGGCAGCTCCGGGGGGGGGGGCAGGCGGGCACTCACGTGGAGTTGGCATACTGCAGGAAGCCGAACTCGTCCCGCTGGCCGTCCGGGCACAGGGACTGCATGACGGGCAGGATGCCGGCAGACGTCAGGGGCGCTGCCGTGTAGAAGGCTAGGGGGACGGGCGGGCGGGTGAGAGGGTGGGGTGGGGGCACAAGGGGGCGAGGGATTGAGAAGGAGGAGGGGGCAAAGGCCGAGAGGAGAGACTTAGAGAAAGTCAGGAAGGAGGAGCAGCGTTAGGGGGAGGGCGGGGACAGAGCCTCAGCTGTGCTGCAGGCCAAAGGTCAGGTGCAAATGATCCCAGCAGGTCAGAGGTCAAGGGGCCACTTGCCACCCTTTCCCCCAAACTCCCTCTCCCCTCAGCCACGGCAGTGCCAAAATGCCAGGGCATCCCCCCGGAAAATCCAGGCGTGACACTGCCCACAGAGCCCAGCAGGACTCGGAGGAGCCCCACTGGGCAGTGACCTCTGACCTCTCTGGCCAGCGGGTTAGCAGAGTGAGTGCAGGAGCCCACAGGAGTGTGAAGGGAGAGCAGCTAGGCTGACGCTGACCCAGCCCCGGCCCAGGCCAGCCAGGCACCCCACCCCCAGAAGGCACAGCCAGGCAGGGAGATGACTCAGCCGCGTGACCTGGCCACCAACTGTGGCCCAGGTGGCCCGGCCCTTCACTACCTACCACCACCCACTGCACTGCCCACCCCCCAGTTGTGGGCCAGCTGTTCCTGACAGCGCAGGGTCTGCAGGACTGAGGGCCGGGGAGGTGTTTGATGCAAGCGGGGAGGGCACTGAGCTGCACCGGGAGGACCCTTGGGCCGTCCCGCGGCTGCGCCCGGGCCAGCAAGGAGGTGGCCGCTCACTTACAGACTGCATGCGGGCCGCGGCCGAGGACAAGAGACCATGCGGGGTAGGGGTAGGTCAAAACAGAACAGAGGAGACCAGTGAGTGCCTGAGCCCCTCGGAACCAGCATCATCGTCACTCTCGGCCACACGGCCAGCCACAACCTCCACAGCCTGGCCAGCAGACGCAGCTCAGGACTGTTCCTCGCAGAGTCATGGGAACAGGGGCACACGCATGCAGACAGGGACACACGCGTGCAGATGGGGGCACACGCATGTCGACGGGGACACACGTGTGCAGATGGGGGCACGTGCCTACAGACGGGGGACACACGTGTGCAGACGAGGACACACGTGTGCAGACGGGGGACACACGTGTGCAGATGGGGGCACGTGCGTGCAGACGGGGGACACACGTGTGCAGACGAGGACACACGTGTGCAGACGGGAACACACGTCTGCAGATGGGGACACGTGTGTGCAGATGGGGATGCACGCATGCGGACACACGTGTGCAGACGGGAACACACGTCTGCAGATGGGGACACGTGTGTGCAGATGGGGATGCACGCATGCAGACAGGGACACGCCCCAGACGCACACACAGAGCAGACATGCGTGATGCCGTGACGGCTGCCGACCCCTCCCCGGCCCCCTCCTGGGCCGCGCCTGCCCCTCACCTTCCTTCACAGAGATGGTGGGTTTCTTCTGCCGCAGCCCCAGCAGGATGAAGAAGAGCACCAGCGGGATGAAGATCTCGAAGGCCAAGACCCACTGGAAACGGCAGCCCGTAAGGCACAGGCCAACGGGGCAGACGTGCCAGCCTGAGCCCTCCCCGGCCCCACCACGGGGGCGGCCCAGGCCTGTTAGGGTTAGCAAAGGTCTCGGCCCCTTCCAGGGCACCAAGAGGGTGGGTGCTGTCTGCCCAAGCAAATCAGGTCTCCCAGCCCCAGCTGAGGCTCTGAAGGCCACACTGGGGGGTACCTGCTCTCTGAGGAGCTTCAGGGCCAACAGGGGCAAATCAGCCAGCTTGTGGTCCACTCTGACCCATGTATCTCCCAGCTCATCTTCTCCCTCCCTACCTCCAGGGCTGCCTGGGCAGGATCTTGAAGGCCATCTGGGCCACTGCCTCTGCCTGCAACTCCCACGCTCCCCCAGGGTCACCCTCATCCCCACTGCTGCAGCACCCTTGCACCCCCATGCAAGGGCCTGAGATGAGGCCTGGCATCAGGGAGGCCCAGACTTAGCCCATGGTTCTGAGCCTCTGGGAAGACATGATCAGGGATCTTACAGCACTCAGTCCCCAAGGTAAAAGCGCCTCTTTCTGTCCTGTCCCCTCCCCCTGACCCCAGGCAGCCCAGCCTGTCCCGGGCCTCGGGGTTCGTTTTTCCCAGGACAGCTGCTGCTACCCGGGACTGGGCACCAAGACAGCCCTGCTGGGACCTGCTCAGAGTGAGAGATAAATGCCACAGGCCTCTGGGGCCCAGGCTTTCCTCTCACTGTCACCTGGAACACGAAGGACCTCACCAGCTCCCGCTCCACACGCCCCGGCGCAGGGAGCAGGGAGGAGCAGCTTGGGTCGGCTGCTCTCTGGGGGACCCCTGCAGCCCACCCCTCTCGCCCAGGACAAGTCCCCCCTGGCCCAGCTCAGACCATGTGGATCTTCCTGGGGGCACCAGGTCTCCTTCATCCTCACCCCCCACCCCACAACAGACCTCAGAGCCCTCACCCCGGCATGCTCTCGGTGGCCCAGGGCCTGAGCTCCCCGTGGGGGGGGGGGGACGGCGGCTACCGTGTTTACTGTGCTCTGACAATAGCGCTCTGTGGTCTGGAACACGATGCTGTGTGTCCGCACCCCACGCCCGCCCAGCCCGTGCCAGCCTCCACCCCCTCCCCAAGCTGGGCTGGAGCCCAGGGCTAGCTGAGGAGGCATGTGGGCACCTACGGGGCGGCAGGACAGGCACGTGCCATGTGCTCGAGGGGCGAGGGGAGAGGGTGGCGGCACACCGGGGGCAGCAGTGCTGGAGGCAGGGGTCACCCTCCGGGGCACCAGCCCTGCCCACACCCACCCGCCACCAAGCACCTCTGCCACTGTCTCTGCAGCAACAGGCCACGGCTGCCTCCCCCATTGCTATAGCAACGGCCTCGCTCGAGCTGCTGGGAGGAGGAGGAGAGTCCTGGCGGGCGGGCGGGCAGCAGGAGGCTACGGGGGCATCTGGTGACAGGCAGCAGCACAAGTCCAGCACCAGCGGGGTGCCCCGCACGGGTGCCCGCAGGTGGCCACACCTTTGTCCTTCAAGACCAGCCCACAGCCTTCACGCTGTCCTGGGACCTGGATGGCCACTGTGGGGCTAGACACCCCCGCCCCCTCCCTGCCTGCCGTGTCAAGGAGGAGAGCCCGTGAGACCAAAGGGTGGCACTGCCACCTCCCACCCCAGTGGCTCAGTGGCAATGGCCCCGTCCCTGCACCAAGAGCAGCCTGTGGCCCAGGGTAGACCCACCTCCCACTAACTAAGAGGGGACAGGCCACACTGGCTGGCTGGCGAGGAAACAGGTAAGGAGTTTCTGAGCAGGAAGCAAGCAGGGCAAAGTCCGTGGCTCCTGCTCCCCAACCCCGGCCGGGCTACACCTGCCCCAGCGAGGCACCCAGCAGGCAGGGTGAAACCTCCGCGCACCCGAGCCTGGCCTCAGGAGTCCAGCTCTGAAGCCCACAGCCCTCCCCGGGAAAGTGGGGTCCACAGGAGTGTGTCCAGCATCTAACCAGCCCCAGGTCACGAGCCTGGCAAGGACTTGGCCTCCTAGAGGGAGAATTTCCTACTGCCAGAGCCGCAGGCTAAGGACCTCCACCTTGCCCAACCAGCCCCTGGGAGCCCTGCAGGGAGGGGCGGCTCCTCCAGGTGGGACAGTGGGCAGCTCCCACTTGCTTGCCAGGTGTCCTTACAAGCCCCTGCTCCCTTCTCTGAGTCTTGGTGTCCCCCCTGGACGTAGGATCCACCATTCCAGCCTCTGCTCCCAGGCCCCGGGGCTAACACTAACACATGCCCACATGCCAGCCCTGCCCCTGCCCCTGCCCTGTTGTCCCTGTGAGCCAACACCCAGGGCTGCAGGCCTGATCCACAGGACCCCACACCACCAGCCCCAGGTGCCCTGGGCAGGGAGTGTACCTGACCCTGGCTCCCCGCCAGGGCCAGGTGCCCAGGGGAACCCTGCCAGGCTGTGGTGGCGATGGCTACCCGCCCTGCCTGCAAGTCCAGTTCCCTGCGGTGCACTTGAAGCCCTCTGCAAGAGGAGCACAGGCAGGAGCCAGTGTGGCCCGATGGGGTCCCAGGGCCCACGCTGAGCAAGAGGATACCGAGCCTCAGGCCCTCACCCACTCCGGGCCCTGCCCTGGAAAATCCCGACAGCCCTTTCAGAAACCCAAGCTGGCCCAGGCCTCTGGCCTGTGCCGTGCCCCTGCCCTTGGGGGACCAGCACGGCCCCCTTCCCACCAGGACCTCTGTGTCTGACAGCCACTGTGTCCTGCATCCTCAGGCCTCCTGGCTGCCCAGGCAGTGCTGGGGGACATGGTGGTCACAGCTCCGAATAGTGGGACCCAGCCCCCAGAGGAGGCTGGGGGCCAGGAAGGAATCGGAGGGTGGGTCAGCCTCCAGAACTGGCCCCAAAGGACAAAGGGGTGCTGAGACTCGGGCTGGCCCAGCCTAGCACAGCAAGGACGTTCCTGGTGCTGAGAAAGCTGGAGCAAGGGGTGGTGTACCTGCCAGGAGGGACGGAGGAGGTGCCTGGGACCAACCTCCTCACCCGGCGGCGGCTGCCCAAGGGCAGGGGCAGGTGGAGGGAGCGGAGGGGCAGGGTCCCCAAGAGGCCCCGGCGGGGCTGGGCCCAGGAGCACAGAGCCCCCGGCCGGACGGACGGTGTGCCCCAGGCCTGCCCTTGGTCCCGGGAGCGGGCCTCCGCCAGCCAGAGGCCTGGGCCGCCTGCCCGTGCCCCGCAGAGGCCCGAGCGCTGCGGAGGGCGCCCGCCGTGACTCAGCCGAGCGCGGCGGCTGCCGTCCGTGGGCACGCGCGCCCTGCCCGGAGGCCGAGGCCCGGCGGGAGGGCTCCGGCCCCCCCGCCCCGGCCCGGGTCCGCGCGCGCCCGGGCCGCCCCCGTGCACGCGGGAGCGCGCCGCCGGCCCGGTGCGCGCGGCTGAGCTCACCGGGCTCCGGCGCTTGAGCGTCACGTTCTTCCAGAGCAGCAGCTGCAGCTGGTGCAGGAAGCCCATGGCGGGCCGCGCTCCGGCCGCTCTGCGCCGCGGCCCGCTGCTCTGCGCCCGCCGGCCCGCTCGCATGCCCCGGGGCGTCTCGCGTCGACCGGCCGCCTGGCTCCGCCGGCGCCAGCGACAACCACCGGCTCCGCACGCCCCCGCTTAAAGGCGCCGCGCGCCCGCGCGCACCCCCCGCGCCCGCCAGGAGGCGCCCTCTCCCGCTCCGCGCCCTGTCCCGCTTCTCATCCGCGCCCCATCCCACTCCCGGTCCGGCTCCTCGCCCCGCTCCCTGTTCTGCTCCCCCCCAGTCCCCGTCCCCGTTCCCGTCCCGCGCCTGCGCCCCGTCCTGCGCTTACGCCCCGTCCCGCGCCCCATCCCGCTCCCCGTCCCGCACCGGGCGCCGCACCCGCACCCAGGGCCCGGCCTCTCCCTCTCGGGGACACCGGGCCGGAAGACTGCCGCAGGGCCCCGGTGGGCTCGGTCCCAGGGCACCTTGAGGGCAAGCCGGGGGAGGCGCGGCCCCCACCAGGTCTCCTGGCGCTGGACACTCCCAAGAGGCCGAAATCTGTTTGGACGTGAGAGTCCGTGGCAGCCCCAGGGGCACTGTCGGGGGAGTGTCACTGTCGGGCCAAGTGCCACCCCCAGGGCGGGGGAAGCCCGGTCCTCCCAGGGAGCCCTGTGCAGGGCAGGCACTGCCCCCCCACCCCGGCCCGAAGAGTCAGCTTCTGGAGCTGCTTAGCAGGGACTGGAGTGGGGCTGTGCGCCGTCGGCCCACCCCCTGAGAGTGTCCTGAGCCACTGGGGACCCAGTGACATCCACCATGGGCGGGCGGGACGGCCTGGCTGGCTCCAGTGGGCTGGCTCTGAGTGCCAGGACAAGGACTGACCGGAGCGAGCCCCAGGGGCTGCTTCCTATAGCCCAGGCAGGCTGCTTGCCACCCTGAGGCCACCCTTCTGCCTGCAGTGCACTCTCCCCCATGTCCCAGAGCCTGGCCACTGCACAGGGAGTGTGGGGGCCAATCCAATCCCCAACGTGGCCTGGCCTGCAGGGCGGGAGGCCCCTGGATGGTTCTGATGGCTCCTCCCCAGCCTCGGTTTCCCCACCTGCAAACAAGAGTGGGTGGAGCTGCGGGCTGTGTGGTGTCCAGTGTATGGGACACACACAGAGGGCACATCCTAAGATGAATGTAGGAGCTTGAGGGCTGCAGCTCTCCACCCCCACCCCTCCCAGCTGCTTCCTTGTGCCACAAGGGACCACCCAGGCAGCACGGTGAGGATACAAGCCCCCTCCCCCACCTGCAGCCTCAGGACCCTTCCTCCTCCCCAGCCAGCCCAAGGGACTAGGTCAGGGCAGGAACCCACCAGCAGGCCTTTCCCATAAGCCTCTGCCATGGGGGGAGGAGGCCCCCGTCCCTGTCCCAGGGCTGGCCTGTCAGCTCCACCTGGGAGTGCCCCACCTGCCACCCTCCCCCAGGCTACCCAGCCCGCCACAGAGGCCCCCCTGGCTGCAGCAGCCTCAATGCCCCCCACTGCCCAACCCCCTCACCCCTGTAGCCACCAGATGGAACCCCAAGTCACTAGTCAGACCCCATCACAGCCCGAACGCCCTCCGGCCTGATGGCTCATGCATGGGGCCCCTCGATTCCCCGCTCCCGACCAGCCTCGGCCTTTGGGGTTCAGGGAAGGCGCTCTGATGAGGGTGCCACTTAGCTGAGGCTGTACTGAGTGGGGGGAGCCGGCGGGGGTGGGCAGGGGTAGGGCAGGGGCCCTGGGCTGGGCAGGCAGGGGTGAGGTCAGGCACGGGAGGGCCGACAGGGGCGCTGCTGACAGGACACAGAGGGACAGTGAGATACTCGTTGGCTTCTTTATTGTGTGCCCTGCTGCCCAGCACAGCCGGTCGCTGCACCAGGGTCTCCCGGCCTGCAGGAGCAGCAGGGCCTGTGCCTGCATCTCGGGGGCCAGGGCACCTCGGGTTCAGAGGAGGCTGCAGGCCGGGGCGTCTTGTGACCCACCCAAGACTTGCCCGGGGTGAGGTGGTTCCTCAGCAGCCTGTCCTCTTTGGTGCTCCCAGACACCGCCATCAGGGCTCACCAGCCTCCTCCTCCTCCTCCAGGCAGCCTCCCCAGCTAGCTCAGCCTGCTCCTCCCTCACCCTCACTTCCTGGCCTCTGGCCCCAGCCTCCCGTTAGTTAGCCCGATGGCAGCCGCTGGGGGCCGGATGCTCGGTGGTTTGATTGCGACACTCAGCCCTTCCACCCACAGCCACCTCCCCTGGCCAGCGGGAGCTCAGGCCTGGAACCAGCCCTCCAGGTCCTCGTAGACCTGGTCCCGCGGCAGGTGCGGGTAGCGGGCGCAGATGGCACAGAAGCGTTCCCGCCAGTCGGCCAGCAGCCGCACGCGGAGCCTGTGGCGCCAGGCGAAGAAGCGCAGGTAGCGGCTCTCGTTCATGCCGGCGAGGAAAGCCGCCAGCTCCCGGGCCGAACCAAAGTCGTCCGCGTGCACGAAGGCGTCCGGAGGCACGAAGGCCTCGTAGGTGGCCCTGGGGGGCCCCAAAACCACGGGCACGGCCCCGGCCGCCAGCGCGTTGCGCCAGAACTTCTCGGTGATGTAGTCGCGGTGCAGCGAGTTCTCGAAGGACAGGTAGAAGCGGTAGCGGGCCACGGTGGGCAGCAGGCAGTTGGCGCACAGTGGCCGCCCGCTGGCCCGGCCGAACACGTCCACCCGGAGGTGGGGCGCCAGCTGCCGGTACAGCCGCGCCCGCTGCTGCCGCTCCTGGAAATTGCTGATCACCCAGGCGGCCACCCCGCTCTTGGCGGGCAGTGGCGGTGAGGGCCCCGAGTGGGCCTCCAGGCGGCCGTAGGGCACGAAGATGTCTGAGTCGCGCCGGTAGCTCAGCACCCAGTTGAAGACGCCACGGAGGCGGCCCAGGCCGTGCGTGTGGCTGGGGGACTCCATGGAGGCCCACACCCACGGCTGCCCACGCGGCCGCTGGGCCAGGGGCAGGCCGCACCTCCGGGTCTGCAGCTCGCGGTGGTGGAAGACCACGGCGTCTGCGCTGGCCAGCAGGCTCCGGTTGGCACTCAGGCGGCAGTGGGTCATGCCGTAGCGGGCACAGGTGTCGCCAGGCAGCTCTGGGGGCCGGTCAGTGAAGGGCCAGTGCCAGACAAGGATGGTGATTGTGGCCTGGGGTGCCGGGGCTCCCCTGGGGCCCGACCCCAGCAGCCACAGGAGCCAGAAGACTGCAAGCAGGGCTCCCCCGGCCAGGCCCCCCCAGCTCCGTAGCCTCCGGGCGGGGCTGCACCCTGTAGCGGAACAAGCGAGCAAGGAGAGGCTCTGTCACCTGAGGCTCGGGGACACCCCCGGGCCGCCTCCCCTCGCCCGGCCTGCGCCTCCCCAGCCTGGGCTTCCCCAGGGCAGACGCTTGCTCACCAGCACTGCTCATTCAGGGGCTCCCAGCGTCAGTCACCCAGACGTCTGAGGCTTTCAAATCACAGCAGCCGCCAAACGGAGGTGCCCTGAAATCACGGCTGCGCCCCGACTCAGCCCCGCCTGGAACTGCACCCCTTTCATCTGCCCAAGGTGAGGGAAGCCAGGGGAAACTTCCCACCACCGCCCCGCCCCTGCCCTCACGACCTTTGGCATCAACCACCATCCCCACCCCCGCCTCCCTCTCCAGTCCTCCGGCTGCTGGGAGGGGGTGGCGGCGATGAGAGGGGCCCCAAATCAGGGCCCAGTATGATGCCTCCCCCCGGCCCACACCGACTGGTCTCCAGCGAGGCCTGGAGGTGACCAGCTAGGCACACAGAGGACAGGAAGGAGGGCTCACCTGTTCCAGGAAGGGCCAGTACGGGCACCCTAGGCAGAGGCGCCCCCCCCAGGCAAGTGCACTTTCCCCAGAGGTGGCACAGCCCCTCCCAGCCTGGCATCACCACTTCCCCCCCCTCCCTACCCCCACCCCACCCCCTTGCCCCCTCCCCGCTCATCATTCCTGGCTGGGGCCTGTTTCCCCCCCCCAGACCCTGGTGCATCACAGATGTGTGTGCTCAGCTCTCTGCAGGAGGCTGAGGCTTCTAACTGGGCCACCCCACCCCTGCCACCTCCTGCAACCCAGATCCCCGGAGAGGGGGTCCGTCCTGGGGTGCTAGGAGTGTCTGTCCACAGGGGGCCTCAGCAGACGCCACCGGGTGCAGACGCCAGGCTGGGCCTGGCCTCAGGGCGAACTGTGGGGGCTGCTGCAGAGTTTTTCCCTGCCAGAGGACATGCCCGCGGAAACCCCAGGCTGAGCCCAGGGTCCTGGATGCTGGACAAGCTGCAGCTCGCTCCCCCGGGACTGCAGCAGGAGGGGGCTTTCCAGGCTGGAAAGGGAAGCAGCCCTCATGTCCCTGACGCAAGCGGGCAGGGGGCTGGCGCCTGCTCCAGGAAGGATGCTGGACCCAGCCTGAAGTCCAGGCTCCCCCCACGCCCTCCAGCCGGGGCCTGGAGCCCAGTTCCTCTGTTCGAGTTCCGAGTTCCTCTTCCTCTCACTCCTGCACCACTGTGGGGGCAGACCGGGATGGCCCTGCAGGGCCCCCCCACGCTCCAGCCTGCACCCCACTCTCAGTTTCTTTTACCCCAACCAGACGGCACACTCTGCCGTCCAGGACCTGCACGGTCCCCACGAGTGGCGTGGCAAGGCCTGGTGTCATGCCCAGGCTCCCAGCGGTCTCAGGCCTGCTCAGGTTCTGGGAGGCCCCAGACGGGGTGTCCTGGAAGGAACACCTGGCCAGGTCTGCTAGCCCAGCGCCCTGCCCGGGGCCCGCCTCCCACCACCCCTCCCCTCCCTGTCCTGCCCCTCCCCCAGCTCAGGCCCCACAGTGAGGACACAGCTGCCACTGGGAGGGGAACCTGGCAGCTGGCAGCAGACCCACGGTGGGGACAGAGGTAGGCCCAGAAGAGGACGGGCGGCAGCTTGGCCCCTCGGAGGCTTCCCACCCGCTGCCCGCAGGGCAGCCTCGCAGCTGCGGCAGGAACTTGTGCAACGTCCCAAAGAGGGAAGGGAGGGCCCTGGGAGCCAACGGAAACCCTACAGCCACCTGAGGTCCTGTGCTCGGGGCTGGCACCGGGGTGGGCAGCAGCCCCACGCCCCGAACTTCCAGGCGCCTTGTGTTTAGGTGATGACCCCGGGGGCCTTTGACCCCAGCCTAGCAGGGGGACGCCAGGGAGCCACGTCAGCCCTGGCTTCGCCCCCCTTCTCCCTGCGGCGGGCACCTAGCGGGTGCTGGGTGTGCAGGAAGGAGGCGGCCTGGCTGCCCGCTGTCCTTCCTGTTTGCGCTGCCAGGCTGGGGGGCCTGCCGCGGGCCCCACCCACACCGCAGCCGCTCCCCTCCTGAGGATTTTCGGGAGCCTCCCCCAGCCTCCACCCACCCCCCAGCATCCACCCCAGGCCGCTCACACTCAGGTTGGCTGCCAAGGGGAGGGGGCGCCAGGGGGGCGCAGGGGGGGGCAGTCGTGGGAACCTGCAAACTGGCAAGTGGGGCTCAGAGGTTTGGCCCAGAAATGGGTCAGAACGAAAGGCTCTCAGAGGAAAGAAAGGGACTGACTCAAAGGGAGAGTCGGGTGGCGTCACCCCACACCTCACCCCACCCACCTCCCGGCGGGCTGGGTCTGCTGGGACGTGGGCGGGCAGGCACCCAGCCCCACCGGGCAGCGGTGACCTCGCAGCGGGGGCCACGTGAAGAGACCTCGTTGCTCCACCGCCTGGGGCGGCAGAAGGGGGCACCCAGCCCCAGCCCGAGGGGCACCGCAGGCAGCGGGCTGAACCTGACCACCTGCCCGCCCCAAGGGCTGGCCTGAGCGGGGTAGAGACTGGCTGTGTGCCTCGAGCGCCCCCTGGTGGTGAACCCCAACACTACCCAACTCTTGAAGGAAGGAGCCCGCCCACTTTATTCTCAATGGGGTGGGGGGCTGGGGGCCAGGGAACCCCTCTGCACTCACCTCTGGAAAGGTGGGTGCACAGAAGGAGGGGTGCCTTGGGGGGTGGCAGGTGGCCAAGCAGGCCCGCAGAGCAGGACATGGCCAAGGGGCTGCACAAGGGGTTGCCAGGGCCACTGGCTGTAGGCACAGGTCCTTGCAGCAGGCTGTCCCCGCCCCTCCCCTCCCAGTCTGTGCCCATCAAGCTAAGGGTGAGGTGGCCCGTCTAGGTCCTTGTCTTTGTCCAGGTGGACCTCCTGGGCCAGCTGCAGGGGCTGCAAGGTGCTGGTCCTCCAGGAACTGGGCTGCACCCTGGGCGCTGCACACCCCTCTCTGCTCTGCACCAAGACCCGCTCCTCTGAGCTGCCACCTGCACTGGGGGCTGCAGCTGGGGGGCTGGGGATCCAGGGCCCACCCGCCCCGCCCCAGGCTGGCAGGGGGTGGGTCTGAACCGGAAGGACATCACCTCCCAGGGCCCAAAACTGGGGAGGCTCCCACTTCCTAGGGTGGTCGCTAGGGGATGACACACCCCACATTCTGTGCCAAGGGTGGTCTTGCCCAGAGTCTCCACATGCATCTGGGGTCTTTGCTGGGGTGTGGGGCTGGCACCCCCAGCCTCCTGTGCTGGGAAGGTCACTAAGGCTGGAAGTACCTCGCTGAGCTTCCTGAGAACCTGGGAACCAGTGAGGTGGGCTGGGCTGCGGGAGGGGGCCAGTCCTGTACAAGGCTCAGGGGCTCAGGGCGAGATCTGCCTGTGCCACTGCCAGGGAAGGTGCCCCTCGGCAGAAGCCCCGGGGCAGGCACCGGAACTGCAGGTGGAGGGGAAGAGGGTGGTGGGCCTGTGAGCAAGGCGGGAGCCCCCAGGGCAGCCCACCCATCCTGGGGCTGATGGGGGCGGGGGTGGCTTGTGAGGGCTGGGGGGGCAGGAGTTTGGACAAACCAAGGGGCTGTCTTTGTCTGAACTGGCAGGCGGAGGGTCTGTGCCAGGTACGTGGGCTGAGGGCAGTCCCCCACCCCCACCCTGAGGACCTCAGCCCAGGCCCACCGCTCCCATTTCATTGCAGCTGCTGCTGGGGGGTGGGCCCTCCTGCCAAGACCTCAGAGTGGGCAGCAAAGCCCCTGGGGACAGACTGGGGACCCTAAAAAGGCTGAGAAGATGGGACACACCCAGTGGCTGCTCTCACCCCTGGGTCGGGCCAGCAGGGGTGGGACAGGCAGGTGCCATGCAAGGCCCAGCAGTGAATCAGTGCTAGGGTGCCCTTGCCCTCAGGTGAGGCTTTGGTCTCTCTGCGCCTCTCTGCACCTGCTCTGTGTGGCTCCCTCCCCTGACGGCTCAGACTGAGACAGTGAACGGGGATGTGCCAGGCTGGGTGCTCAGCATCCACCCCCCCCCCACCTGCACGGGTCCCCTCCCACACCGGAGGCCACAGGGGAACAGGCTCCCAGCCACCAGCCAGCCCAAGGTCACAGATGAGAGGCCGGCGGGGGGAAAGGCAGTTTCCGGGCCCAGGTGGGCTCCGGCCCCCAACACACAGTTAATGCTGCGGACAAACCAGCAGCTCTGGGCACAGGTGAACCCATATCCAGCCGCCCGCCTGGCCCACTCTTTCCTCAGGGACCTGGCTGTCCCAGACTGGCCTTACCTTTCCCATATCAGGACTGGCTGGGAGTCTGGACTTCTGACCCAATCCTCCCCACTCCCTGGCCTCAGGGGGACACACAGGTTTGGCCCCTGAAGCTGGAACTGCACCCAGCCTGGTGCCTTTGACCTCACAGTCCATTCTCCGACTTGCCTCCCGTCTCCTCAGTGTGGGGGGATGGGGGGCCAATCCAGCCCCAGGCATTCGGGGGCCCTGGCATCTCACTCCCTCACCTGGCCCACCTGGGTCTACCTGCCTGGCATGCCCCCTTCCCACATACGCAGCAGGGCCCAGGGGTCCGTGTGGTCCCCGTGTGAAACCCACACTCACTGCCCGCGGTCTTGTTCCTCCCACCTTCTGCTCACCTGAGCAGGGGGATAGGGACCCTCCTCTCTCTGCCCCTCCCCCAGCCTCCACAGGAGGGTCTTCCTAAGTAGGGGACAGAGAGCCCCCTCTCTCTGGGAGTGTAGAAGGCCCTGGACCCCCACTCAAAGGTCCATCCACCCCGGATGGAGAGTGGGGGTGGCCGAGGACTAACCCACGTCTGGGACACACCCACAAGGCACAGGTTTGAAATGTACTTTAATTGGCTTTTGTCTCCCAAATTCCCTGTCCATGCCTGGGCTCTAGGGTTCTCCCTTCCCCCTCCAGTTTGGGGGTCCAAACCAAACAGGAGAGGCACAAGGGGGGCAGAAGTCTCCCGGCACAAAGGAGGGGTCTCCCTGGCAAGGGGTTCCGGGCCCAGCACCCCATGCCCCAGCCACAGGCAGACAGCATCAGAGCGCGTTCGCGTTCTTCTTGGTGGGCGATGCCGCCCGCCCCGTCCCGGGTGGCGGGAACACGTGGGCATCGCTGGCCTCGGGTCACTGCGGCGGCGGCGGTGCAGACGGCGAGCACGGGCTGGGCGGGGCCACGGACAGCGAGGCGTGGTCGAACAGGGGGTTGCGCACCTCCATCTCCCCGGTCTGCGAAGGTGGGCGGGTGCTAGGCGGGCAGCGCCGTGGTGGGAGTGGGGGACACCCTGCTGGGGAGCGTCCCCCCCACCCATGGGCTGGCACACCCCTCCCCCATGCCGCACTCACCGGGGCCAGGCCCGGGCACTCGTACACCGTGAAGTCTCCATCTTCGTTCTCCTCGTCCGAGGAGGCCGAGTCCAGCTCCTTGGGCTCTTTATGCCTGGGTGGGGGGGCGGGATGGCTGGGTCCTCCCCGCACCCTCCAGGTGCCAGTGGCCCAGATGGGAAGTGGGTGCTCAGGCCACAGCGGCAGGGACTAGGGGATGGGGGCGGCGGGGTACCTGTAGACAGCTGGGGGGGGGGACGGTGCAGGGTGGGGGAGGGGCGGACGGTGCAGGGTGGGGGAGGGGCGCTCACCGCTCCAGGCACAGCATCTGCTGCCTCTGGTGCTGGTAGTGGTACATCTCGGCGCTGTGTGCCAGCCGCTGGTCCCCGGGCTGTGGGGCAGAGGGTAAGGGTCAGGCCACAGCGGGAGGCGGCAGGAGCCGTGCGGCTGGGGAGCGGCCACTCACCGAAATCGAAATCCGGGGCTCCGCGGGCGAGCCGGGGGGCTTGGGGGCCGCGTAGTCTGCCTTCTGGGTCAGGCGGATCTCGTGCTGCAGCCTGCGGGGAGGGGGCCTGAGACCTCGCACGCGCTCACGGGCGCCCCGCCCTGGCCGCCGCCCGCCACTGCGCTCACCTGCACCAGCAGACGCCCGCCACGGCGAGGGCGGCCGCGCCGGCCACGCAGAACGCCACGATCAGCACTGCGGGAGGGGCGCGGTCAGGGCGGCCTTCCGGGGGGGGGGGAGCCCTCCCGCGCCCGCCCTGGCCGTGACCTACCGAGGGCGAGGCCGTCGCCGCGCCCGCCCCGGGGCTCCAGGGGCGCCATGTGCACTGGCCCGGAGGACACAGGGGAGCCCCAGGCGGTGCTGGGCGTGGGCGTGCGGGCTCCCCGCCCCGCAGAGGGGCGGCCGGGCTTGGGTCCTTGGCCCCGCTCTGAGAATCCCACAGTGGCTGCTGAGACAGAGGGCTGGTTAGAACAGGGGCAGGCGGGGGGTCAAGGATGTGGGGGCGGGGAGGGGAGTCAAGGATGTGGGGGCGGGGAGGGGGGTCTCACCAGCCTCCGGGAGCTGCTGCCCAGCCTCGGGCAGGGGCGGGGCTGGGAGACTTGAGTGTCCGGCCTCCTTCCGGGCGAGTTCCTGGGCCAGGAAGTCGATCTCATCTTCCAGTCTGGGCTGGGGTCGGTCCTCCCCTGGGGAGAGTGAGGGGCCATCAGGAGGAGAGAGGCCCCAGCCCCTCAGGACAGCACAGCTGCAGGTGGCCTCCCAGGGCCAAGAGGCCCGTCCAGGAGCCAGGCCCTCCCTTCTCCCTCCTTGCTCCCCCGGGGCGCTGGTGGCCTGAGGACAGGGTACCAGCCTGTATACCCCTCTCCATCCTGGGCTGCCATGGTGACATGGGGGGGGCCTTCCATGAGCAGCAGCTCATGGGGAGTGAGGGTGGCCAGGGGAGAAGGAGCTAGAGAAATGTGCAAAGACCAGGCCGAAGGGCACAGGGTCTCTAACCCCAGAGTTGTCCATAAAGGGATAGGCAGAGCACTGAGCCAAGACCCCTTCCCCACCTCCAAACACCTTCTCTGGCTGAGAGGGGGGCAGCGACTCCCCAAGGAGTGGGGAGCGGCCAAAGCAAGCCCAAGCATCCAGGCCCCTCCCCAGTCACCAGGAGACAGGGAGGGCAGTTGTCGCAGGCGGGGCTGCTGGCTGGGCCCCCACTGGCCCCCACAATCCAGACAGAAGCTCCCAGGTAACCCACACACAACACCAAAAAAGGACCTGCTCGCTTCTCAGTGCCCTCTTCCACACCCCTCCCAGGAAGGCCCCGCTGGCCACACAACCAGCACCTCTCAGCCGTCCCAACAGGCCCCAGGCTCCAGCGGGCGGGTGCCCCAGTGCTCTCAAACCTTTGTCACCCAGTGGATGGACAGGGAAGCGGTGCACAGGTGCCCAGGGAGTGGGGGTGTGGGTGCCTAGAGGTGTTATGGGCAGACTCTGTGGGGCCCAGGCCTGGGGGACTCTGACCCTCCCCTCTCCCCCCTCCCAGGCCACCCCAGCCTTTCTCCCCAGCATCCCTTGCCCTGGGGGCGCTAACTGCCCCAGGCCTCAGTCCAGCTCCAGGCTCTGTGCCGGCACCATCTGGAAAGGGCTGGGAGGCTACTTGGAGAGTGACATGAGGGTCCTCCAAGCTCTCGACCCAAGCGCCCACACGCACAGGGACCTGGTGACCACTGTCACCGAGCTGGGAGCTGAGGCCTGGGACTCTAACCCTAGGGATAGATGCGAACGCGGCGTCAGCGTGGGGAAGGGAGGGAGGGAGGACATCTCCCCCATCGACTTCCCTGCATTTCTGCTCTCCCGTACCGGGCGGCCGTCGCACCCTGGGCACGCAGAGCCCTTGCTGGTCCTCAAGGAAGGGCTGCAGGCAGGGCCCACAGGCGTGTGCCCCTGGGGGACACCTCGCCCGCCTCTTCAGGGCACAGTCCAGGCTCCCAGGGCAGGCAGCCACATCTGGGAAGGAAGCAGGGCAGGGCGGGATCACGGCCCTGCACACAGAGGCCCTGCACAGCCACCCCTGCCCCTCCCCCCAGCGCTGGCCAGGCCTGGCTGTGGCCATTGTTCTGGGCAGGCCCTTCCTCCCTCCTGCCTGGGCTCAGAACCAGGAAGCAAACAGGCCCAAAGCTTATCAGAACTGTTCTGCCCCACCCACTCCCCAGGGTCCACCTTCCAGGGCCCATCCAGCCCTCTAGGAAAACTGACCCTCCCTCACTGCCCCTGCCCCACTGAGCTCTCCTGGGCAGGGCCGCACAGCCCTCCGAGTCCAGCCTCTGGTCTCAGCATGTCCCAAGTGATCCTGGACCCTCCGTCCAGATTGGGAGCCCCAGAGGGTAGGGCCCAGGCCTCTCAGGAGCAGCAAAGGGCTGGCCAGCCGCCTCTCCCACATGTCGGGGCTGCCCCCACAAGCCCATCACAGAACAAGTACCCAGCCCAGAAGATGGTCGAGGTCCTTGTCTAGCCTCTGGCTTGTCCCCAAGGCACAGAGGAGACCTAGGATAGAGTCTGCTTGCCCTCACCTGCTTCGGACACAGAACCCAGGCTGGGTCACTCCTACAGCCACACCATAAGGATCCACAGTCAGGGGGCCAGGTGGCACCCCAGGTCTTCAGGAGGCCTGAGCTTAGCAGTGCTGGGGACTGCAGGCCAGGGCCTACTTCCCGAGGTCCCAACCACACTTTCATCTCCCTGGTGAAGAGCCCAGACCATGGTGTCCTGCTCACACACATGGCCAACTGGTCCCATCCTGATGCTGGCAGATGGGTGACAGTGACCCTTGCTGCCTCAGTTTCCCCTCTGGGATACAGAAGTTGAGTTGCCTTCAAGCTAAGGAATGTCCCAAGGCCTTAGCCACAGTGAGCCAGTGGGAGCCGGGGGGGTGGGGGGATACTCACAGGACCTCCAACCCTGCTTGGGGGGCCTAGGGTAGAGGTGTCTCTGGCCAACCAGGATCTTTGCTCTCTCCCCAGCCCCTGTCCCACACAACAAGCAGGGCCACTGGGGCCCTGGCAGACATGGGGGACCTTAGCTGACCTGGCTTGGTTTCCTTGGTAACCTGACACTCAGAGCCTCCAGGCTGTAGACATCCCTTCGAGGAAGTCCCAGCAACCCCAGCGGCAGGTGGGCACAGGCTCCAATGCCAGGCATCCCCCTGCAACCCAGCCTGGATCAGCAGCCTACATCATCCATGGGCTGGGCCTGGGGCTTGGGCTCGTTAAACATTAAGCCTGGGCCAGCAGGGCCGCCTGGCCCCACCCACCAGCTGGGCTTCTGGAGAGTCAGATGGTCCCCCCCTCCCGTGCTGATAACCCAGAGTCCACCAGGCCACAGGGTACAAAGCAGCTCTGGAGTCTGGATTCCAGGGGCCCCCTGAGCCCCCCAGGCCCCAGCCCAGGACGATGTGGCTGCTTGGTCTTGGAGAGGAAGCCTGCCCTCCAACCTTGGGTTGGGGAGGAGGTCCCGGGAACAATGGCAGCTGGAGAGTGGCTGGCACATCTGGGCTGCCCGAGGGCCCTCCCAGGCACCGGGCGCTGGGGTGGGAGGGCTGCCTAGGGAGGGGCCCTGCCAGGTCTCCCAATCAGATGACATAAAGCTGCAGAGGGCACAGCTGAGGGACGGCACCTGGCCACCCCGGGCTCCGCACAGCCACTGCACTACCATTTCCTGAAGAGGCAGCCTCTGCCACGCCGGCCAGGCACACTCCTGCCCTAGGCCTCCTCAGAGCCCCTCCTGGTCATGCCAACGCCCCGTCGGGGGGCACTGTGCCCGGGAGGAAGCCTGCCTTGCTCTGGCCTCTTCAGGTGGCACCCACAGAACCAGACTGCCCAGGTTGGCATCCCAGTTGTGCCGTATACCAGTCACTTAACTTCTCTGTGCCTCAGTTTCCTGGTCTATAAAGTGGACTAACAGCACCTCTCCTACAGGGCTGCCGGGAGAACTGAGTCTCCCAGTTCAGCCCCCTCAGGAAAAGGTGGTGAGCTTTGGATCCTGGGTCCCTGCAAACCTGCGCTGCCTGGAGCCTCTGTGCCGGTTTGTGAGGCGGGGAGGGCCCCCAGGACCCTGGGCTGGCCACTGTCCTACAGAGTCTACCTGCAGCCCTTCGTCCAGAAGACAGAATGGCCAGTGCCCTCGAGGGCAGGGGGTGGAGGAGGAAGCCGAGGCTAGAACAGCCTCCCCCTGTTGAAGTTAGAATGAGACCCTGAGCCTGGGACAGACTGTCCGTGTCTAGAGACTTTCAGACCCCTCCACGGCAGGCAAAGCAAGGCGTGTGCGCGACATCACCGAGACATGAGGACCAGCTGCAACTCCCACTCCAAGTCAGACGCGGCCTGGGCCCGCAGGCACCCAGACTCGGCCCGGCACCCGCAGGGGCCGCAGCGACACACGGAAACACACGCAAAGACGCGCACTGGACAGACCCCGCGGCCGGCCCCAAAGCCAGATCACCGCAGAGAAAACCTGAGACACAGACAGGCTCACGGACCCAGAGACAAAAACAAGCAGCGAAGGAACTAGAAGCAGCGCGTGGACTTCAGGTTCGCTTCCAGGAACGCGGAGAGGGCCCATTTCGGAGCACCCGGCGGTCCTGGCGCCGCGCCCTCCCAGTCGCGCCTACGTATCCCGTCCGGGCAAGGCGGGGCCGGCGCGCACCGGGCCTGCGGGGCCTGCGGGGCCTGCGGGGCCTGCGGGGCCTGCGGCCTGAGCGAGCGAGGCCGGCCGCTGCGAGGGTGACGGAGGCACTGGGAAGCCCGGCTCTGGCCTGGCGATCCCGGGCCCGGGGCGCCCCGCGGCCTGCGCCGAGCGCTCTCGCTCACCCGGGCGGCTGGCGGCGGCGGCGGCCCCGCGCAGGGCCAAGCCGAGGACAAGGCCCGACAGCAGCAGCCGCAGCAGCCGCAGGTGCCGCGGCGCGGGCGGAGGGACCGGCGTCGCCATCCTTCAGCGCCGCCGCCGGGGCAGCATGGCACCGCACGGTCCGGGACTCGGCGCGGGCTCCCGGCGCCGCTTCGGGAGACGCGGAGGAGAGGGAGGGGTGGAGGAGGAAGAGGAGGCGGAGGCCGAAGAGGAGGAGGAAGAGGAAAAGAAGGCGGCGGCGCTGCTGACGCTGCGGCAAAGGATCCGGGATGGTGGAGCGGAGTGAGGCTCGCGCGGGAAGTGCGCCTGCGCACCGCACCTGCGGGGGCGGGACGGCGCCTCCAGGCTTGGCCCCCACCCCCCCCTCCCTCCAGCTCTGGTCTCCTCTCTCCTCCCGGCCTCTCCAGGCCTGGGGCGCCTCGGCTCCTGCGGCCTCTGCGCCGGATCCTTCCTCGTTCCCCAGAAATCCGGCTGGCATTGGCCAGGGGCTTTCCTGGGACGCGCTCCCTCCATGCCTCTCCGCTGTCTGCCGGCCCTCACCCCCACCCCTATGGAGCGGAGGATTGGCTCCGGCCTAGAGGCGGGAGCGCACAGGAACGCAGGAACAGGCGCAGACACACAGGTGCACCGGGATGCACAGGTGTGCCCAAGAGGCACTGGGGCACTCAGAAACACACGCGTAAAACAAACACAGGCGCAGAGCCAGCCGGGTCCTGACTGCCGCTCTCAGTGAGGCCGCCAGGGGGCAAAGTGACCTGCGGCTGCTGCTGACAGCCGGTTGGGAGCTGTCCAAGGTGTTCACGGTCCCCAGGTGACCGCCTTTTAGCTCCCTGGGGCCCCACACAACCAGCAGCCAGGGGATGCGCTCCGTACACCTCACCCGTGGCCTCCGGAGAGCAACCCCCCTCACACACACACCGGGAAACCTCCCTCTTGCTCAGTCATTAAGAGAACACGATGAGCCCCCGCAGCCCGGTGCCTCCTCTCCTTGGAGTCTCAGAACCCATCGGCTTCGTGAAATAGCTCAAGAAATGGCAGAAAGAAAAAAATAAAAAAGAAGAAGAAGAAGAAATGGCAGAATGGTGTGCGGGGTGCGCAGAATAAGAACCGTCGCCCCCCACACACACACACACCCCACACAGGCACCGGTCAGACAGAAATAGTGTCTGAGCTCACTTCCCAGAAAGGTGGGTGGTGGGAGAAGTAGCCGCGTCGCCAAGCCCGCGCCTCCCCATCCTGGAGAAAACAGCGCTGGGGGAGGGGCTGCGGGAGCCCCGGGTGCCTCCTGCCCCGGGCGGGCGCAGAAAACTCAGTACCCAGGTGAGAGGGGCAAGGTGTCGCAGAGCCGTTGCGTGGCTTGGCTCCAGATCGGGGCTCGTTGTGAAGCTCATCCCTTCCTAGGATGGGGCCCTGCCCTCGTCTCCCGTCCCACACCACCTCCTCCGGGGCTGGCCCTGCCTCCACAGTCCCCAACGGTGCTGACTGCACCTTAGGCAGCTGCCTCAGCTCTGCCTCCCCATCCCCCGCCTCCCAGGCCCCTACCACGCTAACCTCCCCTTTGCCCTACTCTAGCTTAGGGCCCAGCCTCCAGTCCCACCTAGGTCACGGATGCGGATGGGGGTCGTGGGGCTCTGGCAGCGGGAAAAGACTCAGGGACGCCCCTTTAAGCTAGTCAGCCTGCAGCTGCCCTGGGACACCACGACAGGGCAGGGGAGCAGCCAGCGCCCCGGGTCTGGGCCCAGAGAGGGGGGAAGTGGGAGGAGCTGGGGTCCACCCTGGGGACAGGGGCAGGCCTGTGGGGCCAGCACAGCTGGAAGAAGGGGGGCAGGCAACAGGAAAGATGCACTCGCCTTTCGCTGTTCCAGGAAAAACTTTTTATTACAAAATTTGTACAAGAAGGCACTGGGCTGGCTCCCAGCCTGTGGGCTCTGGCCCTCCCTCCAATGCAGACCCAGACTCCCCAAAGGGGGGGGGCTCCGAGGAGCCTGATTATGGGAATAGAGGCCCGGTTCCCCAGAGACCCAGCCCTGAGTCACAAGCCCAGGGATTCCCCACTCCCCAGGAAGCGGAGAGAAGCACAAAGCCTGGGGCCAAGCCCAGGCCGGAGGGGGCTCCTTTCCCCAACCCGGCTCCCTGTGGGTGTGGGCGCCAGTCTCAGTCTTGGTTCGACACCCCTCCCCTTAGGCCCGGAGATGCTGAGGGTGGGGTGGAGGGACGTGGGGACACGGCAGGTGGGGGGACCCAAGGGAGTGGAGTGGAGGGGTGGGAGGACACAGGGGATCGTGTGGAGGGGTGGGGGAAGGGTGGGAGGACACAGGGGATCGTGTGGAGGGGTGAGGGAAGGGTGGGAGACGCAGGGGTGGGGTGGAGGGGTGGGGGACGCAAGGCTGGGTTGGAGGAGGGCTGGGAGAGGGGGACGCAGGGGTGGGGCAGGGTGGGGAGGGAGCGCAGGGGGCCCAGGGTAGGGTGGTGGAGGGGGACTCCGGGTGGGGCGGCGCGGCGGCGGGGCGCAGCTGTGGGGCGCAGCGGTGGGGCGCAGCGGTGGGGCGCAGCGGTGGGGCAGCGGCACGCACCCGCGCCTAGATGCCGCCTGGCGACTAGTCGTCGTCGGCGGCGCACACCTGGAGCAGCAGCAGGCAGAGCGCGGCCAGGAGCATTGCGGAGAAGAGCAGTAGCAAGACGACCCAGGAGCCGAAATACGTGCCCTTGCGCAGCGCCGGCGGTTCGGCGGGGATCAGGTTGGTCAGGTTGAGCATGTAGCCGAGCGCCCAGCCGACGGCCGTGTCCCCGGCCTGCGGGCGAGGGGCGTGGCCTCAGCGCCGGGGCGTGGCCTCCACTCCGGGGCCGCCCCCCGCCGCGCCCCGCCGGCCCCTACCTTCTTCTGGAAGGCCACGCCGCCGAAGGTGCTCTCGTCAAAGCCGTAGCCCCGGCTCAGCAGCTGATGCACGAATGTGGCCCCCGCGCAGTAGTCGGCCAGATGAGCCCGCTGCCCTGGCGCCCGAGCCTGCAGCTGGGACGCGGGCGGAAGACCGTTGGCTGGCGACCACCAAGAGGTCTCGGCCCGCGGGAGAGGTGGCTGGCGGCGCGCTGCGCCCTCCCCACGCACACGGCACAGCAAGACCGAGTCCAAGGGGGCATCCCCCGCAGCGGCACCTCGCCCATCCCTCTGCAGCCAGCACCTGCGCCCGGACGGCCAGCACGGGGCTTGCCTCCTGCCCCTCCCCCACACGCACACCCCTGGTCTGCCTGAGACACGCACAGAGAGGACAGGAAGGGGCCTCTGTCACCACCCAAGTCCTGCAGATGCTCCCACGTTTCTCCCAGAGCCTCCTGTGGTCACCTCACCCTCCACGTACCCAAACTTCTCCATCTTTCCTTGCAAGGTACCAGCGTCTGACCCGTGGCAGAAGCCAGAAACCTGGGTGTTGTCTTCAACCCCTCGCTCCCGGACCCCAACCCCTGCCAGTTCTACCTGCTGAGTCTCTCCTGAATCCTACTTCTCCATGGCTGGCCACTCCCCACCTCCTCCTTGCCCAGCCACACTCCTCTGCTCTGTCTGCTCCAAGCCTCTTCCTGCCACAAGGCCTTGGCCCCAGCTTTCCCCTCCACCCTCTAGGTCTTGGATGTAGGGTCAGGTGTGAGGGAGACCTGGAACCCTGGTTCTCCTGGCTCCCAGCTCCCAGCTGCAGCGCGGCCACTGCTGTGGTCTGCAGCGCCTGCCACGGCCCCTCCCCGCTGACTGGGGAGGCGGCTGACTGGGGAGGGGGCCGGCTGAGCCCCGAGGTCCAGCCCTGGAGGAGGAGAGGAGCAGGCTTCACCTCAGCCCAGGTCTGGCTGCACACGGTCACTGCGGCTGCCTCCAGCTGCTGCAGGGTGGCCACGGGCAGCCCCATCACAGTCCTCAGGAAGTCCACGGTGTAGAAAAAGGCAGAGAAGGCCTGTGGGCACAGTCACACTGTGGCCAGGCCCCTGGTGCTCAGGGCACCCGCCAAAACCCCTGTCTGCCTGGACTCACGATAAAGTTCCCAGCCACGGGGGGCTGGGAGACCCCATTGAAGGAGCACCGGGAGAAACGGCAGGAGAAGCTGAAGAGCGTGGAGACGAGGTCACGGCACAGCGTGGGGTCGCTCCTCCCCTCAAGGTAGACCCTGGCTCTGCTGTCGAAGCCCTGGGGCCGCAGGGCCACGGTGCATGGTGACTGGTACACATCCTGGAGCAGCACTTGGGTAGAGTAGCCCCTCGGCCAGCAGGGGTGGAAGCCATGGGTCTGGGGGGGTCACCAGGGTGACTGGGTGGCACCACACCCACCCCAGAGGACCTGCCTGGTCAATCTCCCACAACTATGGCAACGTCACTTTTGTGCTCAGGAGCCATCCGTGGCTCCCCGTTGCCTGCTGGACAAGCACCAAATGCTTTGGCCAGGCGTTCAAGGCCCTCTGAGAGCTGTGCCTGGCGCTTCTTTCCTTCCTTCCTTCAGAACCAGGAAGCAAACAGGCCCAAAGCTTATCAGAACTGTTCTGCCCCACCCACTCCCCAGGGTCCACCTTCCGGGGCCCATCCAGCCCTCGGTAGGATGGGCCCCTTGCACACGCCAGGGCCCTGCCCTCCTGTCCCTCCAGCAGATTGAAATCCCAGCCTGGAGAAGCCCTCCTCCATCTGGGCAGTGTCCAGCCTCTGCCCTACACAGGCACCTCGGCTCAACCCGCCAGGAGGGGGCAGCGCAGTGTGGGAGAGCGGGGTGGAGGGGCACCTGGAGGGCACTGGCCAGCAGTCTCTGGAGCATCTGGTCGCGGCCATAGCAGAGGAAGCTGTGGGTGTACACGCGGTAACGGTGGCCGTAGAGCCGCAGCTGGACCTCATTGGCTGGGTCCTCAGCTGGACTGGCTGTCTCGAAGGTGATCTGTGTGGAGGCACCCCCCAGGTCCATGGCCCCCAGCGTCCCCTTCCTCGGCCGGAACCACTGGCCCACCCAGCCGCACTGTGGAGAGTGGAGTTTGGGTCAGCAGGTGGGTGGGCGTCCACACCCCCTGGCTCACTGGGCTGGCTCCTGGGCCCACCTTGATGAAGTTCTCCAGCAGGTAGTTGGCAGTCACCCAGCCAAACACCCCCTCGTCCTGGCCTGAGAGGATGCGTGCACCTCGGAAGTCAAACGGGTACTGGGCCAGTGTCTGTGCCACTGCTGCCAGCACACGGGCTGAGTCCTCTGGACTGGTCAGGCTGTGAAACAGGGAGGCTCTGAGGGCACCTGCTCCCCAGGTGGCCATGATCCTGCTGCAGGGGTGCTTGGGGTCTGCCCGGCGAGTGGTCCTGGCCCAGGGCTGCTGCTGAGGGTGTGTCGGGCCTGCCCTGTGCAGGGGCTGTCGTGGGGACCCAGGAGCAAGGTCAGAGGACAGGCACACTCACTTGAGCAGGCGCATGCCCGCTGTGGCTCCCAGGTAGAGGGGCGTGCCTGCATGTCTCTCTTTGGGCACATCCCGAAGCGCCTGCTCAAGACATTTGACAAGACTCTGGCCAGCCCCAGATGGGTTGTCTGCGTAGCTGGAGATGCCCCCACCTAGAGGGAAGGGTCGAGATGGGCCCATGCCTGGTGGGCAGCTGCCCCTAGGTGGGCGGTAGGCAAGCAAGGCTGAGGGTCTAGGGCTCCAGGACCAGGTGGCACACTTTACCAGTTTAAGCCCCCAGAGACACTCGGTTTGGAGACAAAGGAACCCAGGTGCCACCCAGAGTCTCTGAGGCTGCTGCCTGCTGAGTGGGTGTGGGCACAGGTGCTAGGACAAAGCATTGGGTGCAGTCCACATGGCCTGGCCTCCTGGGGGCCTGCCCGGATGTGCCCACCAAGGCCTCTGAGGCCCTCCTGCTCCATCTACAGTGTAGAGGCCAGCCTTGGGCTGGATGAGGCCCAAACCCTCCACCTGCCACCTGGGCTTCCTTTCTAGAATGCACGCTGCCCTCAGCCCCTCCCAGGCACAGAGGTCCCAGCCCCCTTCTGGGGCTTCTGCCTGGAGTGAGCCCCACCCAGCTCCAAGCAAAGGGACCTAACTATCTGGGCCTACAGTGGCTAAGGCTGGAGAGGGCCCCTGACAGCGAACAGACTTCCAGGCTGGGGAGTGTTTGGGGCTGAGGGGGCCTCACCTTGAACATCGCAGGAGCTGTGCTGACCCACTATGCCTGTGTCATTCTCCTTGTCCGCCGGCCACTTGTAGACAAACATGGACGTGTGTGAAGAGCCAGCGTCCAGCACGATGCCATACTGGGGGGGTGGCAGGGGTTAGGGAGTCAGTCCGGGGGATCCGGGGGCCCTGGAGGTCACGCTCTTTGTCTCCCCCACCCCAGCCTATCACGTAGCAAACTTCCTGCTGAAACTCAGAGAAGGCCAAGGACAACCACAGTGACGCAGTTTGACTGGACAGACAATGGCCAGAAGATGGCCAGGAGCCCCGATGTTGATCTCCTTTCCTCTGCCTGCCCGAAGCCAACACGCTGGGACTGGCCAGGGCAGGCTGTGTGGGGCTGTGCCTGGGACTGAGGGTACCAGCACCGCATTTGGAGCTTTTTCCTGGGAACACGAGGTGCCCAGGCTTGGGAAGGGAAGCTCTAGCTGTGGGAGGACCTGGGCTGCTCTTCCTGTCCTTCCGCCTCCCTCTGCTCTGACCTCAGCCCAACCTGAGGGTGCCGAAATAGCCGCCCCGAGGGAAGAAGGCTGAGCTGAGGCTGGGCGTGGGCCTCAGATCCGTGCTGGCCCTGTTTGAAGACATCCCCTCCCTAGGCCTCCGAGCCAAGGCCAGAAAGAAGCTGGGCTGCAGGGCGTCGCTGGATAGGCCTCAGCAGTAGAGACAGCTCTGCACCCCGTTTGCAAGGGCCTGGACCCCGAGAGGGAAAGCCGGGCTGGAGACCACGCCTCTCAGGCCCTGGGTGCCAGCGCCCCCTCCCACCAAGGAACCCTCCCCTCCCCGCCCTCCGGGGCTCAGGGAGCGCCAACGTGCCAACCAGTCCACCTCTGCGAGCGCCACCCGGTGGTCCTGCACCCGAGTTCCGCCCTTCAGACGCCCCTCCTGGGCGCAGCGGGCTCATCTCTCCCGCCCCACCCCGCACAAGCCCAGTAAAGGGTTAAAGGAGCCGCCCCAGGCAGCCGGTGTGGAGGAGATCCAGGCTAGCCCGCTCCAACCCCTTTAGGACCAGCCGGGGCTGCCCCAGCCAAACTCTCTTCACGGGCAGCTCCCGCACTGTCCGGGCCACCCGCGTGGCGGCGAGGGGGCCGTGGGCCCTGTTGCCCTCCAGCTGGGCCAAACTCTGAGCCGCTGCGCGTCTAACGGCGCACTCCGGGCGGTGGTGCAGGGCGGAGGCGGCACCAGGTGCCGCTGGGGGCTGCGCTGGGCTGCGTCCCGCGATCGGGGAGACAGCCTCCGTGCCGAGCTGACAGGCTCCGTGGCGTGCGCGGGATTCCAGGGACCTCGGGCTCCAGCACCGACTGCGTCGCCCGGGAAGCGCCGCCGCCGCCGCCCTCGAACCCGGGACCCCACCCAGCCCGGTGGGAACGGAGCGCGGTCGGGGGCTCGGGCGGACACACGAGAGCAGCCTGGCCCTGCTTGGGCTCCGAGCCACCCGCGCCCTGCTCCCGGGCCCGAGCGCGCGGCGCCCGGGACTGTGCCGACGGCCCCGGCGCGCACCTTGAGGGAGGGCGAGTCCCGGACGTCGCGCGTGTGGACACACAGCAGCAGGATGCCGGCGAGGCCCGCCACGGCCAGCAGCAGCGGCGGCAGCAGTGACAGCATCTTCCCGGCCATGGGCGAGCGCGCGGGAGGTCCAGGCGTGGACGCAGAGACGGCGGGAAGCCGGCGGGCAGAGTCGGCCCGGGCCGCAAGACCCAAGGGTAGGAGCGCGGGGCGGGGCGCGGGGGCGGGGGGGCGGTCCGGACATGCCCACTGTGGCCCCGCCCCCGGGCGCTACCGGCCCCGCCCACCGCCCTCCACGGCCCGGCGGTGAGCGCAGGTGAGAGACGCCTGCGCCACTGAGTCATCAACGCAGGTGCCTGCGTCCAGCCCGGCGCTCCGGGGCTGTTGCTCAGCCCTTCTTCCTGTCCCCGCAGCACAAGGCTCCCACCCTGTCCGGGCAGTCGCGGAGGTGGGGACCTGGCGTGGGGGGCCGGCTAGAAGCAGTCTGGCTCCGAGGGTGCTGCGGCGGGAGAGTGGCTCCCTGGCGGGCTCCAGGAGCCACGTGGGTTCCAGGCTGCGGGCTCAGGAGGGAAGAAGGGGCTGCGTCCTCTTGTGCAGTGAAGCCTGCGGCGACGACCCGGAGTGGCCAGGACCAGGTTGGCCTGTGGGATTGATTCCCTCCCGGCGATAAGGGACCAGCCAGCCTGTGGCGCTGGGCCAGGCCTGGGCTGGGTGGCTGGGGGCCGTACCGGTCAGCTCCAAGGCCACAGAGCTGTCCCAGCTTGGGCTTGCCCTTGTCCTAGGCGCTCAAAGCCAAGCGGCATGAAGGGCTCCGTCAGATCTAGCTCACACAGCCCTGGACTTAGGTAACTGTGGAGGTCAGCTAAAATAACGTTCTGGTTGTAGAAGAAAGCAAAGCAATCCACTTGTAACTGAATGCATATTCTGCCAGCACGCGCATGTTGTAACATTTTACTGCACCCCAGACTGTCAGCTATCTGCTTCTGTAAACCGCTTGCTTCTCGCAGGGGCTCAAGGCTGGCCCGGGGCTCCTGCCATCTGGAGGAGCACGATAAAATGTAGAAAACAATACCTTCACTTATGTGCCTCCAGTTACGTAGGCCCTGACCCCATTATGTGCCTCTAGTCACGAAGCCCCCAACCCGAAATGGTATGAAAGCTTTCTGCCATCGTGGCTCGGGGCTGTTCTCTGTGATTGGGACTCCTGTGGTCTTTTCTCACACTCGGCACCGTAACAGTGACAGGTGAGGACACAGAGGCAGAGAAGGGCAGGGGTGGCCACTGTCACACCAAGCCTAGAAACAGAATGGGAATTCCAGCACTAAGAATGCCAGCCAGAAACAGAGGAGAAACTGAGCTCAGATGGGGCCCAGCGCCAGCCCCCTGGCTCGGGGCCTTGGCCATCCCTGCTGCCCCCTTTGTCTAGACTGTGGAGGCCAAAGGAGACTTTCCCAGCAGGGGAGCAGGTGGAAGGGAGAAGAGGCCCCCAGGCCAGGCTTGGGGTGCTGGTCAGCACCTGGTTCCTGGACACTGGCCAGGGAGGGCAAGTGCTCGGCTGGCCCCAGACCCACCCCCTGCCGCTCCCCCACGGAGTGTCTGGCCTCTCTGCTCCGACCCTCACACACCCTACATGCCAACCTGGCCGGGGGCCGCTCTGCTCCATGCCCTCGGCAGAATGGGAATCCCAGCACTAAGAATGCCAGCCGCCGTGTGGCGAGACCACCCGGGGTGCAGGGCCAAAGGGTGGCCTTTGATGGGGCCAGGGTCTGGGCAACGCCCTGGCCATCTGGAATGGGCAGGGACGATTGGGCTGGGACTGTGCCTGGGTGGAGGGGCTGGTGTCACGGGCTCAGCAAAGGCGTCTTTCTTCTAGCTCAGGACCCCAAGGGAGGGGTGGGAGCCCCAGAGGTCACTCGGGCTCCTCAAAGCCCAGCCTGGAGCCAGGCCTGGCAGGGCCCCAGAAGAGAGGCTGTGGGTGTGGTCAGTGCTGGGCTCCAGGCCCCAGTTTCCCACCAGCATCCCTCCCTTGCCCCAGGCCCTTCCCTTCCAGAAAGGAAGGGCCTGGGGCCCCAGAGGCAGGACAGGCATGCACACTCACTGCTCACCACGCCTGAAAAAGAAGGCACACAGGCAGCCCCGAGGGAACCCAGCACCTGCCCCCACCCTGCCAGTCCTCCAGTGCCCCCACTTGTCCCCCTACCAGGCCCACCAGGGCTTCCTGGTGTTCCAGACTGTCCTTGCCGGACAACAAACACAGGCCTGGAGCAGCAGGAGCCTGCCAGGCCCGAGAGGACAAGAGGACTGCCCGGCTCCTGGCCGGGTGCCCAGAGCAGCCTGTGAGGGGAGGGAGGCAGGAGCAGGAACAGTCCACAAAGGCTGAGAGGCGAGTTCTGTCTGGGACCACTGGGGCAGGGAACGCCCCTTCCTGGCACAGGCTTGGGGCCCCTGGAAGGCCGATTGGAGGGCGTGTCAGAGGGAAGCTCCCTGGAGCCGAAGGGGTGGAGGGGCTCTGGGAGGGGCCTCCGTGGGGGCAGGCGTGGTGGGGCTCCAGATGTGCTGCACGTGCTCGGCCCAGCTGAGCTGAGCAATGAGGGTGCAAGAGGTGCAGGGAGAGGCCCTGGGAGAGGGGCCTCAGAACCTCCCTGCCTCGCCCCACAGGGTGCAGGAGGCAGCCCTGGGGAGGGACTTTTGCCGGGGCCTGGTGCCCTACCTCCATCTCCTGTGGCTGAAATGGGAAAGGCCCTTTGCTGGCCTCTCCCTTACTTCAGGTACTCGATGGGTCATTCAACAAAGGCTTGCTGAGCACATCCTGCAGGCCAGAAGCGTGCCAGGCTCCGGGCATACGCAGAGACCAAGGGGGGATGGGACACCTGTGAACTCCAGGAGCAAGGCACAGGGAGGGCGCCCACCTGTCCCTGGACAGGGTGCCTCAGGGGACAGGGGAGACACATAGCAGAGTGGGTGGGGCACAAAGAGGCTTTGGAGTAACACCACCGGGAAGGAGCCCGTTAGCACCATATGTCAGGGACCCCTTGGTGGCCCCACTCGGGACCCCCTCCTCCCACCAGAGGCATCCACTCCCCAGAATTTGGTGTCTGTCACTCCCTTGCTTCTCTTTTATCGACTTAGCACCTGACAACACATCTCCAAATTACGTTAACTTTGTTTCTCCTGGTTTGCAACTGTGTATACCGGACACGGCTGTCCTGCAACTCGCTTCTTTCACCCACCTTATACCTGAGATTCACCCCACTGACATAGGAAGGCGTGGTCCTCCCATTCTCGTTGCCCTGAGGACGCCAGGATGGACAAGTCCCTCCGCGCACGGACGAGAGTGTCGGCATCTGCCTCTCGGCCGCTCTGGGCGTCCGGACACTTGGCGCCATTCCTCCAGGGACATCCCGGGAGCAGAATTGCTGGGCTTTGGGTAAGTGTGTTTCCAGCGTCACTAACAAATGCCAAATTGTTTTCCCAAGCGATGGTTCCAGCTGGCACTCATGAGCGTTCGTGACAGTCTGGGGCTCCACGCCCTCCCCCCAACGGGTGTTGTGCAACTCTTAGATGTTGCAGATGCTGCTGGGGGTGGGGCGAAATGGTATCTCTTTGAGACTTTAATTTGTATTTCCTGTTAGTAAAGAGATGGGGCTTCTCTCTTTTTTTTCAACAGAGTCTCACTCTGTTGCCTGGGCTAGCATGCTGTGGCGTCAGCCTAGCACTCACAGCAACCTCAAACTCCTGGGCTCAAATGATCCTTCTGTCTCAGCCTCCCAAGTAGCTGGGACTATAGGCATGCGCCACCATGCCGGCTATTTTTCTAATATATATTAGTTTAGGTAATTTCTTCTTTCTTCTTCTTTTTTTTTTTTTTTGGAGACGAGTCTCACTCTGTTGCAGGCCAGAGTATGTGGTGTCAGCCTAGCTCACAGCAATCTCAAACTCCTGGCAAAGCGCCTCCCTCAGCTCCCAAGTAGCTGGATCAGGCATGCACCAGTTGCCAGTAATTTTTTATATATTTTTAGTGTCGATAATTCTTTCTATTTTTAGTAGAGACTGGTCTCGCTCTTGTCAGGCTGGTCTAACTTCTGAGTCAACCATTTCCCCTCAGCCTCCACAAATGCTGGGATTACAGGCGTGAGCACCATGCTGGCAGTTTCAAAAATTCTTTTTTTGAGACAGAGTCTCACTTTGTTGCCCAGGCTAGAGTGAGTGCCGTGGCGTCAGCCTAGCTCACAGCAACCTCAAATCCTGGGCTCAAGCAATCTCCTGCTCAGCCTCCCAGTAGCTGGGACTACAGCATGTGCCACATGCCAGCTAATTTTCTATAATGTATTAGTTGGCCAATTAGTTTCTTTCTATTTATAGTAGAGACGGGTCTGTCTTGCTCAAGTGGTTTGAACTCTGACTCGGCAATCGCCCGCCTTGGCTCCCAGATGCTAGGATTACAGGCGTGAGCACCGCGCCCGCCCAAAATTTTTAAAACCTGCATGAATTGCCTTTCAGGTTTTTTTTTAAAAAAAATACTTTTTTAGAGCAGTTTTAGATTCACAGCTAAATTGGCAAGAAGGTACAAAGATTTCTACAGCAGCAACAAAAATAAATAAATGGGACCTGATCAAATTATAAAGCTTCTGCACAGCCAAGGAAACTATCACTAGAGTGAACAGACAACCTGCAGAATGGGACAAAATATTCACATGCTACACGTCGATAAAGGGCTGATAACTAGAATCTACATAGAACTCAGGAAAATTAACAAGAAAAAAATCAAACAACCCCGTTAAAAAGTGGGCAAAGGACATGAACAGAAACTTTTCAAAAGAAGACAGACTAATGGCCAATAAACATATGAAAATTCAGCTAATGCTCGAGTTCTAAAAAAATTTTAAAAAAATACGAAAAATGCTCAATATCTCTAATCATCAGGGAAATGCAATCAAAACCAATGAGAGCCGGCGCGTGGCTCAAGGTCAGGAGTTCGAAACCAGCCTGAGCGAGACCTGTCTCTACCAAAAAGTAGAAAGAAATTAATTGACCAACTAAAATATATTAAAAAAAAAAAAAAAAAAATTAGCGGGCATGGTGGCGCATGCCTGTTATCCAGCTACTCTGAGGCTGAGGCAGAAGATCACTGAGCCGGAGATTGAGGTTGCTGTGAGCGAGGCTGACGCCACGGCACTCACTCTAGCCTGGGCAACAAAGG